ATAGCCAATAGCAGGCTGACTATTGCACCCGCCCACTGCTTGCTGTGCCCTCCTCCGAGCATGGGAGGAGAGCGCTAGGGGCTCCAACCAACTAATCGATTAGAATAGTTATTAAATATTCTCATAATCCATTACCATCAATTAATCGATTAGTTGGTTGCAACCCTAGATTGTAATGTCGTACAGCACAAGAGCAAGGTGAGGCATATGCCTTATTTTGCGCATATGTCCTACATTACAATCATCTGCTGAAAAAAAAAAACACCTTACCCGAATCTGATCGCAGGATCCCCCCCAAAAAAATCCCTATGTAAAAGCTATTTTTACCTTCCTTAAGCTGGGGTCATGCGATGCCACAGCCCTAAGTCTTCCCCTCTTGTGTTAACTTCCTGCTTTGGTCCTTCAGGTGTCCATGTCAGCGCCTACATGACATGAACGGCCATCGTCTAGGGGCCTCAGGATCCAGAAGATGTCAGCAGGAAGAGGGGGGCAGCAAGGGACCTGGAGAGGGACTTACTTGAGTGTATCTGGCTTCAAAAGGTAGGGCAGGAAAAAAAAGCCTGGTAGGTTGGGCACGAGGTGGGTAGGAAAAAGTAACTTTTGCCCTGAGTGGGGTTTTAAAAGTCAAGCAAAATAGTAAGCCAACACTGGAGTTTTCACTAGGCTCTTGTTCTTACCAGTGCGCACACATTTAGGTGTGGTGTTACAGCCAACTTTTATTTGCATAACTCAGAACATACTTCAGGTCACAGACAACCTATGCAAAGGGTGTTTACACAGTGCTAGAAGCCAATTATAGAGCCTAGGAGGACTTAACGGCAAAAACAAGCCAGGCAGAAGAAGACAGAGGCGATAGACCGGAAGAAACAGGCAAGCTGATGAGCCATCACTATAGTATGATAACTCATCGATGACACTTACTGCACTGAAAGTCACAAGACAATACAGCTCCCCACATCTAAATATAACCCAACTCCAGCAAATCTCTTCCAATAGTATTGTGCTCGGAGACTTATTCCTGAACAATCCGTAGTCAGCACAACCCAGGGCCTCTGTAAAAGTGATGGCACACTATAGTGAGGATAGGGACAACACTACAATTTCTGCATAATGTATATTATGTCACAGGGGATTCATTTCCCCCCAAAGTTTGTCCCCTTTCTCATGCAGAAACAATAACATGCTATTTGTTGACATAATGAATTCGCAAAATTGTTTTGGATTTGTTTAAAGTTGAGCTCCGACCACAAGAACTTCCAATTACAGTCTACAGTTAAGAAAAAAAAAACTCCACTTAAAATAGGTCTACTACCCCCATACTGCAAGGGTTAACTGTCCATTTATGTCTCGGGGATCTTTGTAAAGGTGCCCATACACCTGCCGATTATCGTACGATAATCGCGGGTGATCCCGCGATCGTACGATAACCGGCAGGTGTATGGAAGGTGTGCGACTGTTTCTACTGTACGGTCGCACGTCTTTTGTCTTCCGAGCACGCTTGAAACCCCGCCGAGAATCGTACGATTGTCGGCGGGTTAGTGGCGTGCTTGGAAGACAAATGCCGAACGGGCAAGTGCACACTGCCCGCTCAGCATTGGAATCATCGGAAGCTTCCCCTTAGCGGGGAGGGCTTGCGATAATCCCAAGTACGATCTGCCTGTCCAAGATGGGCAGATCGTACGAGATTTTATTTACCTTACAACCATTGCACAACGAAAGTCATGCGATGGTCGTAAGGTGTATGGCCAGCTTGAAGGTCTTTACTTACCTAATCACTCTGGCTCCAAGACCGGCACCCACAGCCTATCTCCCCCCCACCCCACCACCACCATTATGGTGGTCGAAGGCCCGCTGATGTCATGACGTCTAATGCATGGCCCATAGCCCTGCATTGTACGTGAGGATGCTGAGGAGCATTGGGAAGAGAGATGAGTGCCGGCCACTAGAGAAGCAGGAATCAGGTAAAGAAATGCTTTACACCATATGACTAGACAAAAACAAGCAGTTAATTGTTGCAGTGTGGGGGTAGCCCAGCTGCAAAAGAGGTAGTTTTTTTGGCCAGGAGATAGGCTTCAAATATATTCCACACTAGTCACAAAGAATATAAATTCGCTGTGTGCACCAAATGCCTTTGTGATCCCTTTTATTACCTTGTAAAAATTAGGGATGAACCGATACTAGTATCGGTGCCGATACAGAGTATTTGGGTGAGTACTCTTATTCGCCCAAATGCTCCGATGCCTAGCCTGATACACCATCTTCTGGTATCAGGAAGCTGGGCAGCAAATCATTACACGCTGCCCGGCTTCCTGATTGGCCAGGAAACCGACTCCATGAGCATGGAGCCAGCTTCCCGGCCAATCAGGAAGCCAGGCGCCATGTAATGACTCGCCACCTGGCTTCCTGATTGGCTGAGAAGCTGGCCAATCAGGAAGCCAGGCGGGGAGTCATTACCCACTCCCCGGCTTCCTGATTGGCAAATCAGTACTGAAAAAAGTACTGAGTACTGGAAAAAAAACATTGGTACTCGACACTGACAAAACGGTATCGGTGCAGCCTTGTAAAAATAGTTGTGACATGATCACTGAGTGAAAAACACAGAGCATTCTATATGTAGTACATGTAAAGTACATATAAAATGCACTGCAGCAATAGATTTACAATTCTGCACTGCTAACATGAATGGGTTAAATGATCCGCAGTACAACTACATATTATGTACTATGGATCATGATTTAACCTATTCATGTTAGCAGGGGATAATTGTAACCCTGGACCTCTCATTGGTACTTCTTACTGACCGCCATGTCACTGCACAAGACAGTAGTGAAACGGAGGTCAGCGGGATGAACCAGTGAGAGCTTTGGGGGACCAAGGAGATCGACACATTCTGAAGGGTTAGTTTCCCAGCGGGTTTGGAGAGGCCATTCCCTATTAACAGTGCAGTGCAGGATGGGGTAGCTGTAAATGAAAAACGTTTTTACAACACACCTATACCGGTGTTTCAAACTTGATTTTTTTAAATGTATTTAATGATTAATAAACGCTTGCCAAATGCCCTCTGTGTTGGCTTTAATTTTTTTTTTAAAGGGGAAGTGATTTAGAGGAACTGGCTGGCACTGGTACTGGTAGTGCAAACACTGGTTCTGGTTGGCACTGGATGGCACTAGTACAGTACAGAACAGAACAAGTGGCTACTGGAGCTCTTCTATTCTCTCCTCTATCATTTCTCAGTGCTTTCTGAGATATCAGGAACCTCCACTGCCTTTCCCCCAGCACCTTACAAACTCTTCGCAAACACTTTTGGAGTGCGCTGTAACTACTATAGGCCCGGTTAAGGCATGTTTCCAATTACATGAATGGAGGTGGTTGCAGATCGGCAAAGCCTCCCCAGCATGGCATGTAAAATTTTGCTGAAACCACATGTGTGTAGTGCACTGTCCACGGACCATTGAACAATATCTCAGGTGTGTTGGTAGGTGGTTGGGGAGCTTTAAAAATGCCGGACAACTGGCTTGTTTTGCCACACGTGTAAACAAGGCCTTAAAGTGACACTAAATTTAGGAGTTAACCATTAAAAATACATTCAAGTACCTTACCTAGTAAAAAAAATGTATCTTATTTGTGTATCACTCGGCTGTACATCCTCAAATCATCTCTGAATTGGTGCTGACACTGCCTTTCCTTCTGGAGGGTGGCTACTTTTGTTCCCCATGGTCCCTGTGTGTGTTGTAAAGTAGTCACCGCTCCCAGCTCATGTTTAGTTTACAAATTAGTAAACTAAACATGAGATTGTAGTCCATCACAGGAGTGAGCTTGGAGCGGTGACTACTTTACAACACACACAGGGACCATGGAGAACAAAAGTAGCCCCCCTCCAGAAGGAAGGACAGTGTCAGCACCAATTCAGAGATAATTTGAGGATCTACAGCCGAGTGATACACAAATAAGATACATTTGTGTAAATAGTTAAGGTACTTGAATGTATTTTCAAGATAGAACACCCGAGTTTAGTGTCACTTTAAGTCAAAGCAACCACTGCCTTTCTTTCACTTCCACCTCTCAGTCACTGTGAGTGAGTTCTGCGTCAGACAAACGATTTGATTGACTGGTAAGTCAGAGGCAGCAAGCATGTAAGCCTCTGTTCAGACAAAGTCCACCCAGCGCCATGGTGAAGAAGCAGAAGTGAGACTGTAACACCAGGACAGGGGGAGGGGGGTGTTGTCCCCCCCAAATCCATACCAGACCTTCATCCTGGATAGAGGTCTGGTATGGAGTTAAAGGGTGAACTCCACTCAAAATAAAAAAAGATAATGGGTTCCCCACCTTCACATCCTACTTTTTGTCTCTAACCATGGTGTGGTTGCGGCAGCACAGCAGAGGGCTGGAGGCGGAGCAGACCGAGGGAGACTGCCATCCTCTTTTGAATATGACAGGCGGTCCTCAATGCCACTTGCATTAGATTAGCATCATGAGTTTCCATGGTAATGGAGGCTGGCCCGCCTTCACCATAGAAACGCATGATGCTGTGTAAGAATTTGAAGGCACCCCAATAAAGCCAAACAGCACCCACACACTTGCATAGTTTTTTTGATTGTCTTAGTGGATTTGTCTACTTTTAGTAAAGTATGGTCACCAAGCTGCTTTCCATATGTATAAATGAAATGAGAACCCCCACAATGACTCCTGGGAAGACCTGCAGGTAACAGGTACACCCTGTGTATACATACATTTATTCTATACATACACCCTTCACACAACACAATCATATCATTTATCTTCAGTCTTGTGATACAAAAACTGGTATCTGGGTGGAGGGGGTTTCTTTTACACATAACCAAAGGAACTCCCAGGCTGGTGGCCCCCTCCAGATGTCCTGTGTTATCAAGCAGGTCAGTTTCCTGGTAACACTGTGTATAACAATTTTTGGGTGTCACCCAGGGGTTTCCCTTACATGTCCGTAATATACCCCTCCCCATCTGTTTATTCCAGCCGCTCACCTCTCTTCGTCACAGGTAATTTGAGTTCCCGTGACCCTCCTGTATCTCTCCCCAGACCGACACACACAGTCCAGGCCCGGCGCGATGACGTCACACGACGCTGCGTTCCAAGCCTCGCTGACAGCGGACAGTTCCGGGTGTGAGCGCGCAGCCTGACAGTAAGCTGTTTCAATACCACACACACACACACAGTATCCGGTTTTGAATTTGCTAACTTTTTTTCCCAGTAACGGCTTCTCCTAGAAATTCATCTGAATGTATTTGAATGTTATTAACGCATTTGAAAGTGTGTTTCTCCTGCGGAGTCGCCGCGGCATAGAAGCTGTCACGTGATGTAACTATCATATTGGTTGGCTTTGTTTACAGAGGAACAAGAGCGCCCCCTACACATTGTGGAGGATATGCGGTCCACAGTCATCAAGGATCATCTCTGTTCTCTGCTGCAATTCCCACACAATGGAGCCGACAAATTGTGAAGCAGCTGGGCATTCCAACCAATCAGCTTCCATCTTTTATTTAAAGCTTCACTAAACACATCACATTCTCAAACAATTCATCCCCACACAGCTACCTCCTCATGTATCACTGGCCCCTCCCTTTTAGATTGTAATGTGTTTTACACCTGACGCTTTGAATTGCACTTGGTGATGTAAGTCTTGGATGGAGCTGCTCGGCCAGTGTTGTTGTGCCAATCTGAAGGCCACATGAAGTTTGGAGGTCTGCAGCTGTTAACTCTGCAGACAGTTGGCGACTTCTGCGCACTGTGCGCTTCAGCATGCGCTGGCCAATCTGTATGATACTGAACAACTGAAGACAGAAGCTGATTGGTTGCCATTAGCAACTGCTCCAGAGTCTGTCTGATCCAGTTTTGATACTTTCCCCCCAATGTATTTAGGCAACGGATACACCCCTCTCATGCCATCCAGTTATATGGACCTTTGATAATTTAAACCAAAAAATGTATAACAAAAATTCCAGGCGCCCCCCCCCCCGCCGGCACCGCTGCCGATGGCCGCTGGCATGTTCAGCCTCTACCGAGCGGAGGATCGGTAAATATCATTGATATTTACTGGTCCTCTGTGTGCAGAGCAAACACCGGAGTGATCGTCTGATCACTCCAGTGTTTGTAAATAACTGGGGACACATAGAACTATGTGTCCCCAGTTATGAATGAACAGGATGTGATTTACATCACTTCCTGTTCATTCATTAATTTTTGAATGATGAGTAGCACTCACTACAGAGGCTTCTCCCCATTCAGAAACTGGTGATAGTATACTATCTTACTATAAGCAGTTTCTAAATGAATGGGAAGCCTCTGTACTGAGTGCTTCCTATTCATTGAGTGCTGAGGCTGCAGACAGGGGAGTCCCAATACTTTTGGCAATATATTGTATATAATTGTACATAATTGGTCACACTATTGCTTTATCGCCGAATGTTTTGGATTTAGCCTCCAAGGTTCATATATTAGCAATACCACTAGATGGCACAAGTTAGCTGTATTTTACCATGTATTTGGAAGTGCCTCAAGGAATGTTGAATATGAAAATGGCAAGTTCAAAAGCACATCAAATATACATATGTTCTGTAAGCTTATTCCAGAAATGCTAATTAAAAAATACACTGTAATCTGTTTCTCTTGCTGGTATTGCCAGCGAGGACAATACGGAGTATTATTCCTACATAGTGTCAGCTACCATGCACAGTATTTCTTAGGGGTTGTATACATGGCAGTTGCTTACTTGTCTTTGATTTGAAACTTGAGTTAATGGAAGAAGGGTCACCAGCATGCCGTAATGAAGTCAATATACATTTCATTACATACAGGGTTATTCACTAAAGGGTAAAGATTTTGGAGAAGGCAGGAGAAGTAAACAATCTAGGACAACATAGCTGAACTGGAAAGTGAACTGAATTGCAGGATTTTTCCAAATCAGCTATGTTGTCCTAGATTGTTCCCTTCTCCTGCCTTCTCCACACTCTTCACCCTTTTGTGAATAGACCTGATAGTGTCAAATAGGTCAATGAAAGCCAACGTTTCAGGCCCAGCAGGGTACCTTCCTCAAAGTGACACAGTGATGCTGTCGTCGTGAGTAAAGGACCCTGAGTGGCCCCAAAACGTTGGCTTTCTTTTTTTTAACCTAGACAAAAAACAGCAGTTAACTTAAAGTAGAATTAAACACTCGTTTGTTTGTTTGTTTTTTGCATATATCTACTGTTAGCAAGCATTTAAACATTTAAAAGTTACCAAATAGGTAATTACTTATCTGTGTCTCCTCCGCTCACTCCCGTCTGAAGATTCTCGAGCGGCCGTGAAAGATCATGGGGCGGGCGCATGCTCAGTAGAGAGAAGAGGTGAGACACAATGTGAGTCAATGCAGGCAGCCGTGAGCGTGCATGCGGACAGACACCACGGGACACAGAAGACACAGCAGTCACTGCTGAAGGGACTACTGAAAACTACTGGAAAGAAGAAGATGATCGGATCAAGAAGAATCATTTAAGGCAAGTCCTTAACCAGTTGACATCCGCGGTGTTAAACCCCCTTCCCATCCAAGCCATTTTTCAATATTCAGCGCTGCGGTACTTTAACTGACATTTATTCCGTCATGCAGCGCTGTACTGAAATGAATTTTATACCCTTTTTTGGGGACAGATAGAGCTTTCATTTGGTGGTATTTATTCACCACTGGGGGTTTTATTTTTTTACTATATTAAGGAAAAATTACCGAAATTATTAACTTTCCTGGAGTTCTTCTTTGAATAAACTTAAGTGGCATACTGAGGCCTTTTGTATAATTTGCCCTTGTAAATGCTTGCTTGCTGCTGGATGTCCTCTTGCGGAAACAAAAGACAGGGATGATAGGAAAAGAGATGTCCTGAAAGGATTTACCTAGGGCACTCAACATCTTGCATGCAGGAGCTCTGATTCACTTGACTTCTCTGCTTTGCTGCCCCTTGTTACAGGATGATTCCTTCATCTCAGGCTGATGACTGCTGAAGTCTACCTGTCACCAAATCAGATAATGCCTATAGGTTGCTGATGTAAAAAAATTACATCTTTACAGTTGATGTTTTGTCACTGAATTTCCAGAACTCCTTATCTGTGTTAAACATTCATAACCATTAGTGAAATGTATCTAAAATATAAAAGGGGAGATCTCAAGATGTCGTAGATTTTATGAATTAAATACAAACAACATTTCAAGTGACATTTGCTGATATCTAGATTTTTTTCTGAATACATCAACATAATGATCATTAAGCACAATACATTTCAAATAGAAACTCCTATTATATAGATATTTGTTTGAGGTTATAACTAGTGGTGCTCCTCCTGTATTTGGCCAAACCAAGGCTTGTTCTTTCTTTTGCTAAAATGCTGTTTTTCGTGCAGGCTTAAAGAAGTACTCCAGGAGATGTAAAAATGAACCCTTGCAATGGGACAATCCCACACTTCAAGGGTTAAGTGTTCATTTTAGTCTAGGGTGACCTCTTCACCCCCAGGCTTCAGCTGCCTAAGGCTCCATTCACACAGGAGCGGTTGTCCGCGTGTATTCAGCCATGCAAATACGGTGGAGGTGCTCTAAACATAAAAAACAATGCACTTGTACAATGTACATTGTTCAGACTTTTGCGGAGGCCCCATGGTACGAAACCGCGCGGCCTGCAAAATAGTCAAGTACAATTTTTTGACAGATTCCACACATTCACGGCTATAGTAATAGCTGCAAATGAGCGGAATCCGTGCAGATGAAAGATTTTAGCGCAGTCTTCGGCAAGGAACACCACGCAGGAAACGCAAACACTATATGTGAATGGAGCCTAAAGACCCATGATGTCATCACGTCTAATATAACCGATTAGACGTGAAGATGCTGAGGGACATTCCACTGCAGAGAGGGGGGCGAGAGAGGTGAGCGATGACTGTCTCAGCAATGAGGATCAGGTGGATATATTTACTTTGTTTTAGCGCCTTAGACCAAAACTAGCAGTTAACCGTTGCAGTGCAGGGGTAACCCACTGCAAGGGTTAATTTTTAAATTTCTTGGAGTTCTTCTTAAAAAAAAAAAAAAGAATAAATAATCCAGCAGACTTTTTTGTTCAGCTGTTCATAAACATTCATTATACATTGCCTGAAATAAGCCCATTCATACCATTCGCACCTTTTCCTTGGCATTGTACTATCACACATTAGAATAGGGGATAGCGCAATAAAATGTCCCTGATACAAATTGTGTCTCTAAAATCTGGCAAGATTCATTCGAAGCAATTTCAAAGTCGCATAAATAGATGGCAAAAGATATCGTAACTTAATGGTATGATAGAAAAACAGCAATAAAGCTTATTAGGAACATAATAGATTCAATTATATTTTCAGTCAAGCCATAATTGCATCTGTGATGAGTTAGTAATCTTCATGAGCGATGTTTGTGTTGAAGCACTCAGTTGATTTAGTAGACCCAACTCATTAATAAAACTGAGCAGTTTGCCGCTGTTTAAAATTCACACGACTGTAGATTAGTAAAATAATCTGCTGCAGATTTTAACAAAAGAATTCTGTCCAACACTAGTGACATGGTCATGTAAAGACACGGCACTCATGGCTTTGGGTTTACCATGAAGCTAAGCATGCATGGACCCCCAAAATGTTCTTTGCTACCAGCACTTGCATTTAGGAGGTCTACAAGACCCCAAAACTCTGGATGCTCCATAGTTAGTCAATTCTACTTTCCAGTTGCTAAAGGATTAACTAATCAGACACTTCAGCAACAAAATGGTTAGTGCAGATTCTCATATTTGTACTCTGGGAATCTACGAAAAGTCTTCTGGAGAATTAATTGCTAGAAAATCCCTATTGCCAAAGCCTGCGAGTACTCTTGTGTAGGGATGAATGAATCTGTCAGAGTTCGGTCCACAGGAGGTTTGTTGAACCCAGCATTAGGTCCACGAATCCCATATTTAGGGCCAAACCCCATTTGAGTCTATGGGAGGTGATTTGTCTAAGTGGCCTGGAACAGGAAGAGGGGGGTGCATGATTGCTGTCTCTTCCTTTCCTTGCCACCCAGTC